CTACCCGCTCGTCTTCTGTTCTCGGCTCCAGTTGTGAGGCTGAGATCTACGCCGGGGCCATGGCTGCACAGGAGCTTCGCTGGCTCACCTACCTGCTGTCTGACTTTGGAGAGGTGCCTCGTTCTCCTCCAGTGCTATACGTAGACAACAAGGCCATGCTGGCCTTGTGTCGAGAGCAGAGACTGGAGCACAGAACAAAGCACATTGCTCTTTGCTACTTCCTTGCTCGTGAGCTACAGCAGCGTGGTCAGCTGCGTCTTGCGTACGTGGCCTCTGAGGCCAACACTGCTGATATCTTCACCAAGGCACTTGCGCCTTGTGATCATCAGCGCTTCTGTACTCAGCTTGGTCTTGTGCTTGTGTTGCCTCACTTGCTCACCTCTTGACCTTGCTTGTACTGTTACATATATTTACACCTGCTCTTGCTTGTCTAGCCTTTTAAATATATATATACTCTTGCATGTGAACTGGCCTTGTGGCCTTGAACTTGTGCTCGGAATGTGTGGTGACTTGCTTTGCTTGACTGGTCTTGTGACCCCTTGTTCTCCCCCACTTTGCCTATGTGGGTGTGTCAAATTATAATGTAATATAGGCTGTAGTAGGGTAGCCTATATGGGGTACGCAACGTTAGGGTTGCATACTTGTATCACTTTTCATTCCTTAGTCATTCATTCTCGTTTCTTCTCACTTAAAACCGCACTCACGTCCGCACCTGTCCTTATCCTGCCAGACCCTGAACTTGACTATGTCAACGAGGCTGATACTAGCGATCAAGCAGTGGGCGCAGTACTCATGCAGGATCAAGGGACTGCAACCCATTGCATACCTCAGTAAAAAGCTTCATGGGGCAGAACTCAATCACCCCATCCATGACAAAGAGGCCCTCGCCATCGTCAACGCATTTAAGGCATGGAGGTGTTACCTCGAAGGAAGAAAATCGACCGTCTAAATCGACCACTGCAGCCTCAAGTATCTGAAGACCCAACCAACACTCTCCAGGTGGCAGGTCCGGTGGATTGACTTTCTCGAAACCCACTTCCATTACGACATCGTGTATAAGCCGGGGCACAAGAACAAGGCAGACGCACTCAGTCGCCTTGCACACGTTGCCGCCCTACAAGTCGATGGCATGAACCCACTTTTGAAGGGACTCTTCACGCATGGATACACCATCGACCCCGAAGTCTCTATAGCAGAAAAGCGCCATCTTCTACATTGGGATCAAGACATCGCATACCGCAAGGGATCCACAAAAATATGTGTACCTAAGTACCCTCCTTTACGCCAGTTACTGCTCGAAGAATATCATGATGTTCTCTACGCGGGCCACTTCGGTAGTAACAAGACGCTTGTTGGTATTGCAAAGCATTATTATTGGCCCCACATGACGGATGACGTACAAAAATTCGTCACCTCGTGCGACACATGCCAACGGATGAAGAGCAGCAAACAGAAGAAAGCAGGGTTACTACAGCCTCTTCTAGTCCCTGAACAGCCTTGGCAAGTGGTTAGCCTCGACTTCATCACCGGGTTACCACCTACTAAAGCTGGTTACGACGCCATTCTAGTCGTCATCGACAAATTCTCCAAAATGGGACACTTCATTTCGACACACACAACGGCTCGCACGGAGGAGACAGCGCAATTTTTCTTCCGCTACGTCATCTCGCAACATGGCATTCCAACCACGCTGATCTCCGACAGAGACCCGAAATTCACGAGTAAATTCTGGAAGGAGCTCATGTCGCTCATGGGGACCAAACTCGCCATGTCATCAGCCTATCATCTCCAAACGGATGGTCAGACAGAGCGACTCGACCCGATTGTCGAACAGCTTCTGCGAGCAGCGTGTAAGGACGATATCTCTAAATGGGATGCACACCTGCCGGTTCTCGAGTTTGCGTATAACAACCCCACGCACGCCGCAACAGGGCAAACTCCTTTCTTCCTCTGTTACGGTCACAACCCACTCACGCCTCAGAAACCAACAGTACCCGCCACGGTGCAACCTGCACATGACTTCATTACCACTATGCACCAATTGTGGGATCGCACGCATAAACGTCTTTTGACTTTCCAGCAGCAACAAAAGAAGCTCGCTGATCGGAGTCGCAACGATCATTCCATCAAGATTGGCGATCAAGTTCTTCTGGATACACGCAATCTCGACGTTAGCCATCTTCAGTCTAAGCTCCGACTTGCTTCTGCGAACCTTTTCTCGTCGAGGCGTAGGTCACTCTTGTAACCTTCCGCTTGCGTTTACCAGCTACCTGGAGAATTCACAATGCCTTCCATGTTCAACTTCTCAAGCCCTATCTGGACCCAAACACGGTCTTCAAAGGTCGCCAGCCGCCGCCGCCGCCACTGCCAGTGATCGTTAATGGGGAACCCGAGTACGAAGTCGAAGCCGTTCTGGCGCACCGACGACGACGTAGCGGCACCTTGGAGCTCTTGATTCGTTGGAAAGGCTATGATCCTTCCGAGGATATCTGGGTACCTGAACACGACATGGATAACGCCCGCCGTCCTCTCCAGGATTACCTTGTTAAGCAGGATGTTACTTCTACCACCCAGCTTTGAGGGGGGGAAATGTGAGAGGACGTCCCCGTTATAATATTTTCTCACTATTATATTTTTTGGATATCCTATTCTCCCTTTTCTCCTCTTTATTTTGGTCTTTATCTCATCTCAATCGGCCTACTATTCTATTTTCTAGAGCCTTCTATTTATTTCTCTTATTTCCTACTTTTCCCACCGACATACCTATTATACGACACTGACAGCGCCGACAGTGGTGTATACGGTGTAATCTGGGCTTAATCCCAAGTGCCAATAGCCTTGCGAGCTTGTGCGCACTTGTGAATGTAGTATCGGGAAGGGCGTGTTCCCGAAGGTTCGTTTTATCTCGTTTATCCTTGTATTTTCCGAGTATAAAAATGCCTTGTATTCAGTTTTAGTGACAAGTTTCGATTGAGAATTCAATCCTGTGACACACCCGCCGCACCTCATCTCGTGTCCATGCTGCTTGTACCTGAGGGAGACCCGGATGCACCAAACATCCCGACCCCGCGCTCTTACGCTGAGGCGATCGCGGGTGAGTTCTCCTCTCAGTGGCAGACAGCCATGGACGTAGAGATGGCATCTTGGAAGTCCACAGGCACTTACATTGACGAGGTTCCCCCTCTTGGGACGAACATTGTCAGTGGCATGTGGATTTTTAGGGTGAAGCGGCCGCTAGGTTCTCCGCTTGTCTTCAAGGCTTGTTATGTTGCCCGAGGTTTCATTCGGCGAGAGGGAGTAGACTTCTTTCGGACCTTCTCCCCCACCCCGAAGATGACCACTCTTCGGGTGCTGCTGTTCGTTGCCGCTCAGCGTGACTATGAGCTTTACTCTCTTGACTTCAGCACAGCTTTCTTACAGGGCAGCCTGCACGAGGAGATCTAGCTGCGCCGCCCTCCTGGCTTCAATGGGTCATTCCCTCGTGGTACCCAATGCAGCCTCCGGCGACCAGTCTATGGTCTCCGCCAGGCACCACGTAAGTGACACGACACACTGAGGACTACACTTGCGGCTCTTGGGTTTGCTCCGTCGACTGCTGACCCGTCACTGTTTATGGGCACCGACACGTCGCTGCCGACTTTCTACATCCTTGTGTACGTCGAAGACTTGGTCTTTGCCACTGCTGACACTGAGGCTCTCTCCCTGGTGAAGTTGGAGCTGCAGAAGAGACACACGTGCACAGGCCTGGGTGAACTGCGCAGCTACGTTGGCTTGCAGATCACCCGGGACAGAGCACGTCGCACCATCACACTGACTCAGTCACACATGGTGCAGCAGGTCCTTCAACGCTTTGGCTTCACCTGGTCCTCGCCACAGCACACTCCTCTGGCTACAGGCCACTCACTCTCAGCTCCACCTTCGGACAAGTCCGTAGAGCCGAGTGGCCCGTACCCAGAGCTAGTGGGCTGCCTCATGTACCTGATGACCTGCACTCGACCTGAGCTGCGTACCCTCTTGGCATTCTGGCTCGTTACGTGGCTCCTGGTCGGCACCGAAAGGTGCACATGGATGCTGCGAAGAGGGTACTGCGCTACTTGTGCGGTACATCGGGCATGGGGCTCGTGCTTGGAGGGCGGAGCACAGTTGTCCTCACTGGGCATTCAGACGCTTCTTGGGTTGACGACCAGGCTACGCAGCCGTCGTCACAAGGTTACACCTTCAGCCTTGGCTCTGGTTCAGTTTCTTGGCGTTCTACACGCTCGTCTTCTGTTCTCAACTCCAGTTGTGAGGCTGAGATCTACGCCACAGCCATGGCTGCACTGGAGTTATGCTGGCTCACCTACCTACTGACCGACTTGGGAGAGCGGCCTCGTTCTCCTCCAGTGCTGTACGTCGACAACAAGGCCGCCGTTGCCTTGTGTCAGGAGCATAGACTGGAGCACAGAACGAAGCACATCGCTCTTCGTTACTTTTTTGCTCGAGGTTGCAGCAGCGTGGTCAGCTTCGTCTAGCTCACGTGGCCACTCGGGCCAACACTGCTGATATATTCACCAAGGCACTTCCGTCTGGTGATCATCAGCGTTTCTGCACTTTGTTAGGCCTTGTGCCCACTTTGCCTCACTTGCTGTAGACTTTGCTTGTACTGTGATATACATATATATATATATATATACCTGCATGCCTGTTCTGCTAGGTAGAGATCGCTGTGCTGTTGTTATTGCATATATACCTCTGCATGTGAACTGGCCTTGTGGCCCTTTGCTTGTGCTCAGTGTGTGTGGTGACGTTGTGATCCACCCTGAGCTTGCTTTGTTTCTCTTGACTGGTCTTGTGACCCCTTGCTCTCCCCCACTTTGCCTATGGGGGTGTGTCAAATGTTATATCTACTTTATATGTTTAGGGTGTGGTGGGGTAGCTAATATGGGGTACAACCCACTTTAGGGTTTCATATTTGTACCCAACTCTTTCAGAGTTCATTCATTCCTGCTACTAGATTCTAACTATGCCCACTCCGCCTCTAGCTCTTCTCCCTCCTTCCCCTCCTTCCCCTCCTCCCTCGCCTCCCCCTCCTCCCTCTTCTCCCCCTCCTCCCTCACCCCCTCCTCCTCCCTCGCCCCCCCCTCCTCCCTCACCCCCGCCTCCTCCCTCGCTGCCGCCTCCACCCTCGCCTCCCCCCCCTCCCACTCCTCCACGTCCTCCTCGGGGCCGCTCAACCAGCTGTGCAAGAAAGCAGCGGCGCATTTGCCCTTGGTTGTATGACCATGACAAAAACGAGCGTCTTAGAAAGAAAGAGAGTCCTAATAAGAAACACCGTCCCTGCGTATTAAGGAAGGTTTGCCCCAACAGCCAGATTTGCATCCCGTTTGTAAAAAGCTGCGAGGGGTACAAGTGCTTTAAGGTTCTATAGGTGTTGGTTGAAAATTGTGTAGTGAAATTTTTTGTGCTATAAGGGATACTACCGCTTCAGCGAGTTTATCCTGTTCGTGTTGTTGACTATCTGTGATGCATTTGCCAGCATCAGTTCTAACGAAACAGAGTATATCTCGAATTAGTCTCTCTAAACAGAAGTCGAATTCGTCTCTCAAAGCGAATGTCCTCAGTGCGTGCCCCTTGTCAGTAGATCTGCACTGTGGATGCCCGATTGATCCTGGAGAGGGTTACAGGCGCGTTCGCCTGGGGGGTTATGGGCGCACTGACCCGCTACTGAAACAAGCCCTTTTATCCCAATGGTCTAGTGGTTGGGATTCTGACATGGTATCAGAGCGGTCTCGGGTTCGATTCCCGGTGTATGCACATGTAGGCCGTTGCCGCTGTGCTTAGTCCTGGGCCTCCCAGTGTGGGGGGGTGTCAGTAGATCTGCACTGTGGATGCCCGATTGATCCTGGAGAGGGTTACAGGCGCGTTCGCCTGGGGGGTTATGGGCGCACTGACCCGCTACTGAAACAAGCCCTTTTATCCCAATGGTCTAGTGGTTGGGATTCTGACACCCCTACCTTGAACCTCTCCATTCCCCGCTTTTCCTTCGCTGGCCCCTTCCTAGCAGACGGGACTCTGAGATGCCTGCCGATTGGTATGATCTGAACTGAATTTGTGTTTAGGTTTCACTCGCTTGAATTTTCGGAAAGATGTGTGAAGGTGTGGAAAGAGGTAGCATGGTGTGACACGGTAAAAGTGCAAATATCGTAGGATCGTCTGCACATATCGATCCTCGCAATCGCTTGGGTAGATCGATTGGAGAAACGTGGCAATCGCGACGTTGTTATGATCGCTACTGAGATTTGACAGATCTCACGCGATCAGTGATCAGTCTGATTCACACACTGTACAAAAAATTGGCCAAAAAGCGTATTGGAGTATGGTTACAGCTTAATAAATAGGGTAACCAATCTGCACGTCGATCACGACCAACGATCGATTGTCTACCCTTTTCGCGTCCTAATACAGGGATGCTAGTGACATGTGTCAGAATATTATGCTCTAGCCTGTAGTGGGGTGCTCTATAGCGAGTACAACCCTTCTAGGGTTTGCTATTTGTATCCTCATTCTTGCTAGTGCAACCCTCTTCTTCTAAATTTTCACAACATGGTGCTAAATCGCCTTGGTACACCTTGTTTCGCGCTACACTGTCATTCCCTATACTGGTTGATCGGATGTACATACATCAATGTGTCCATGATGGTCCCAGAACGTACCATATAAGCACGTATGCCCGCACTCAACCGTACGCCTAAGCAAGTTTCCTTTTGGAAACCGTTGTGTACCGTTCACCAGGAGAGCATTTTGTCTGAATGTGTAGTTTGTCTAGCCTGCAGTGGGGTTCTCTTTTGTGAGTACAACCCAATTAGGGTTTCCTATATGTATCTCAACTGCTGCTAGTGCAAATCCTCTTTGCTGTTTCTAGTTTTTGCCTACTGATTCTAAAATGGTATCAGAGCGGTCACGCTTCTAGCCCGTGGGCCCACCATTAGCTTCCACTGCTGTCCAATCTGTCGCGCGCCCTGTGGCGCGTGAGGTTTTTTCTTCCCGCCACGCGCTCCTGGTGCATGGCGGTTTTCTGCCCGCCGAGCGCTCGGGGCACGCGGCGGTTTTCTGGGCGCGCGGCGGTTACGTGCCCCGTCGAAGCGCCCCCAGGGGCCCGTGCGCTGTCCTCTCCCGTCGCCTCGTCGCGGCACTTAGGGGGCCCGCGCGCCGCCCCCTCCCGTCGCCTCGTCGTGGCGCCTTGGGGGACCGCGCGTCGCCCCCTCCTGTCGCCTCGTCGCAACGCCCTGGGGGCCCACGCGCCCTCCTCTCCCGTCACCTCGTCGCGGCACTTTGGGGGCCCCCGCGCCGCCCCCTCCCGTCGCGGCGCCTTGGGGGCCCGCGCGTCGCCCCCTCCCATCGCCTCGTCGCGGCACCGCCTCCCGTCGCTCGTCAAGGCACCCTAGGGGCCCGCGCGCAGCCCTTTCCGTCGCCCGTCGAGGCGCCCTCGAGGGCCCGCGCGCGGCCCCTCTTCCATCACCCGCCGTGGCGCCCTCGGGGGGCCTGCGCGTTGCCCCTCATGCAGCTCGCGAACCGCCCCCGCAGCCCGCGAACCGCCCCTGCAGCCCGCGAACCGCCCCTGCCGCCTCCTGCCCTCTTGCACCTGCGGGGTGGCGGGTGCGTGTGTCGTCACTTGCTCCTCCTCCTCCTCCGTCTCCCACTACTGCAGCTGTCGCTGAGGGGGGTGGATGTGTGGGAGCCGCGGGCGTGGCGCTAGGGGGGTGTCGTGGGTGTGGAGCTAGGGTTCAGCAGGGGGTGTGTGAACGGGAGTTTTTGGACAATGGGGGAGGTTGAAGGGGGGGTGGCCGCCGTGAAGCCAACAACTCCAGTCACCCGTGAGACCGTTGCGCCAGTCGCCCGTGAGACCGTTGCGCTAGTCGCCCGTGAGCCCGTCGCTCTAGTCGCCCGTGAGCCCGTTGCTCCAGTCGCCCGTGAGCTAGTTGCTCCTGCCGCTCGTCTAGCCGTGGAGCCAGTTGCTCCAGTTGCCCGTGTGCCAGTTGCTCCAGTTGCCAGTGTACCAGTTGCTCCAGTTGCCCGTGTGCAAGTTGCTCCAGTTGCGCCGTGTGCCAGCAGCTTCAGCTACCGCCCACCACCTCCTCTCCTCTCATAGTCCCTCCTCCTCACTTGCCCTCTGTGAAAGCCTCGAGTTTTGCTTATATTTGTGAACTATGAACTGCTGCTTGTTGTGCTGATCATACCCCACTATGACTATGGGGTTGTGTTAGAATGTGTAGTTTGTCTAGCCTGCAGTGGGGTACTCTATAGCGAGTACAACCCAATTAGGGTTTCCTATATGTATCTCATTAGCTGCTAGTGCAAATCCTCTTCGCTGTTTCTAGTTTCTGCCTACTGATTCGGACACATTTGTTCGTCACCAATTTGCAGTTCGGTTGTACAGCTGTTCGGGCTTAGAGGCCTTTCCTAAAAGAGTTCATTTTCTTAAATGAGTAGATTTTTCACACAAGTCTTTGGTGTATCCCCTCCTCTTGAGGAAAGTAGAACGAGAATGGATTGACTAAGGAATGGAAGTGATACAAATATGCAACCCTAGAAATGTGTACCCCATATAGGCTACCCCATTATAGCCTACACAATATTATAATTTGACACCTCTATAGTCCCGTTTTTGGCAGGAAATCTTGCATCTTGACTAAATCATTGCACGAATCAGTTCCGCAGCCAATCAGATTGTGAAAGAAACTAAAACGAGAATGAATGAACTATGAATAAAGTGAGTACATATAGGAAACCCTGATTGGGTTGTACCCCCTATAGGAAACCTCACTATAGCCTAAACAAATATATAAGCTATAATGTTCTGACACACCCCCATAGGCAAAGTGGGGGAGAACAAGGGGTCACAAGACCAGTCAAGCAAAGCAAAGCAAAGCAAAGCAAAGCTCAGGGTGGATCACAAAGTCACCACACATTCCGAGCACAAGTTCAAAGGCCAGAAGGCCAGTTCACATGCAAGATCACATATATATATAGAAGAGGCTAAGCAAGCAAGAGCAAGAGTATATATATGTGACAGTACAAGCAAGGTCAAGAAGTGAGCAAGTGAGGCAAGACAGGCACAAGACCCAGCTGAGTGCAGAAGCGCTGATGATCACAAGGCGCAAGTGCCTTGGTGAAGACATCAGCAGTGTTGGCCTCAGAGGCCACGTACGCAAGCCGCAACTGTCCACGCTGCTGTAGCTCACGAGCAAGGAAGTAGCGGAGAACAATGTGCTTTGTTCTGTGCTCCAGTCGCTGCACTCGACACAAGGCCAGCATGGCCTTGTTGTCTACGTACAGGACTGGAGGAGAACGAGGCGGCTCTCCAAGGTTGGTTAGCAGGTAGGTGAGCCAGCGAAGCTCCTGGGCAGCCATAGCCCCGGCGTAGATCTCAGCCTCACAACTGGAGCCGAGAACAGAAGACGAGCGGGTAGCCCGCCACAAAACAGAGCCGGAACCAAGACTGAAAGTGTAACCCTGTGACGACCGCTGCGTAGCCTGGTCGTCAGCCCAAGAGGCGTCCGCGTGCCCAGTGAGGACCACTGGACTCCGCCCTCCAAGCACTAGCCCCATGCCCGACGTACTGCACAAGTAGCGCAACACCCTCTTCGCTGCAGCCATGTGCTCTGGTCGGTGTCTCCCAGGAGCAACATAGCGTGCGAGAATGCTAAGATGGTATGCAAGGTAAGGTCGTATGCAGGTCATCAGGTACATGAGGCAGCCAACAAGCTCTGGATACGGGCCACTCGACTCTACGGACTCATCCGAAGGCAGAGCTGAGAGCGAGTGGCGAGTAGGCAGAGGAGTGGCCTGAGGCAAGGAGTACGTGAAGCCGAAGCGCTGAAGGACCTGCTGCACCATGTGTGACTGAGTCAGGGTAATGGTGCGGCGTGCTCTGTCCTGGGTGATCTGCAAGCCAAGGTAGCTGCGCAGTTCACCCAGGTCAGTGCACACGTGTCTCTTCTGCAGCTCGAACTTCACGTAGGCGAGTCCAGCAGTGTCAGCTGTGGCAAAGACCAAGTCGGTGACGTTCACGAGGATGTAGAACGGCGGCAGAGAGGTGTCGGTGCGCAGAAACAGCGACGGGTCGGCAGTAGAAGGAGCAAACCCAAGTGCCGCCAGTGTAGTCCTCAGTGTGTCGTGCCACTCACGTGGCGCCTGGCGGAGATCGTAGACTGGACGCCGGAGACTCCACTGGGCGCCAGGAGGGAGCGGCCCAGTGAAGCCAGGTGGGCGGCGCAGCCAGATCTCCTCGTGCAGGCTGCCCAGCAAGAAAGCAGTGCTGAAGTCAAGAGAGTGCAGCTCGTAGTCACGGTGAGCAGCAACGTGCAGCAGTACCCGAAGAGTGGTCATCTTCGGGGTAGGGGAGAAGGTCTGAAAGTAGTCAACTCCCTGCCGCTGACTGAAGCCACGAGCCACGTAACGTGCCTTGAAGACAGGTGGAGAACCCGGCGGCCGCTTCACTCTGAAGATCCACATGCCACTGACGATGTTCGCCCCAGGAGGGGGGACAGCATCAACGTAGGTGCCTGTGGACTTCCAAGAAGCCATCTCTGCATCCATAGCTGCCTGCCACTGAGAGGAGTAGGGACCCTCTATCGCCTCCGCGTAAGAGCGCGGAGTCGGGATGTCAAGTGCATCCGGGTCTCCCTCAGGGGTAAGCAGTACGGACACAAGATGAGGTGAAGCAGCGGCCAGACACTTGAACTCCTCCTGCCTGTCCTCAAGGACGTCCATGCCAGGGGCACACTCACCCCCGACGGACGGAGGACAGACAGACTCAGACTCAGCAACAAGACTCGCAGCGTAGTCTAGGCGAGAGCGAGCAGCAAAGTCGACGAGCTCAGTAACAAGGGCAGACACAGCAGTAGACTCGAAAGAAGGGTCAGTGACAACAGTAGCAAGGAGACGCGTGATAGTAGGACTGGCAGCACGAAGAGAGTCCGACTCCGGGTCAGCAAGAGCAGGAAGAGAGGACGCAGGAGGAGAAGGC